AGCTAGATTTCTTTTTTCTCCTTGCATCTATGTAGGATCCGCTCATTGCTGTGCTTTCCTATGCCCTGTCCAGATTTGCAGCAGCATTTACCCAGACTTGTGCTGCCTTCAGCTCTGAGGCTGCTGCAAAAAGAGTGATTGTGTTAGTTTAAGGTGTTACTAGAAACGCAGAGGGGGAAGGGAACTGATGGGAAAAGCCCACATGCATCAGAAGGTATCAACAACAGTGGAGAGTTGAATCAGAATAGGTCAGAATCTCCCTCTTAAACCTGAGGGAAACATTATATATTTCCCTTCACCTTAAATCAATGTTCTTAACTGGCCCTTTTCAATGAAGTATCTGAGCACTAAGTTCGTGGTGGTCTCTCTGAGTAGCACTTTTCAGTCACAGTCATCTTCCTATAGGCCAGGGTTTCTTTGTGTGTCTTGATCCAATTAAGGGCTTCCAATATTTCTTCTTTAATTGAGCAGTACCTTGATGGCAGCACCAACCAAAGGATTTGCATGTGACTGTGGGATTGGAAGCTCATGGGAACCTTTACCCCCAGGCCATTCCTGTTCTCCCAGCCATGAGCCTAATGGGAAGGGATGATGAATTGCTTCAAGCTGAGTTAACCCTTTGCTAGACCAAGATGCTCAGAGGCGGTGGCGTGTCTTCTCTTGCTCATGCTCAGCTGAGGGGGAAAACCAGCAAACCCTAGTGAATGATTGTCTGATCAGGGCATGGTAGGAGGAGAGAGAGGCTCCTCTCTTTGGAGCTGGGAGCTACTTCTGCAAAAATAAATACATCAAATGGACTCTGCAGATACACAAGACATCTAGTTTTGACTAACCCTTCTGCAACTCTCTAGTGGAGAGTGTTTTCCTGAAATAATTTCCCTGCTTTTTCTTACTGCTCAGCTGACCCCTCTCTCCTTCACCCCTGCTCACTGCCAGTAGAATTTGGACTAGAATGATTCAGAGGGAGTATTATGGCAGCAGGGCTTTGCTCCAAGGGAAGGAAGAACCCAGTGAACTAAACTGGCATTAGGGGGATTATATTTGCTTTTGCAAGCTGATCCCACTTGTTGGCATATTGCAGTGTCTAGCCATAAACGAGCATACATCTGTGAAGGTTCTCCACTGCTGTAAACAGCATTTCTTCATGGGAAGTCCAGGACTGAGATTGGCCTAGAGCAGGTATTCTGCTGCCCTCCTGCTTCTCCCAGTGCCCAGCATTACCCTTAACCCTCTTTTATTGTAATGATTGGCTAACGGCACTACGTGATCGCAAGAGACCAGGTTTAGTTCTTGCTGGATCTTGGTGAGAATGTTTCTCCTGTAGAGCTGCGTGCCTTTTTCTCTTCCTGCCTCATGCAAATTAATTGCAACATTTAATCCTGCAAGTGTCTTGAGGAGGGCCAGGGCTTTGCAAGGGAAGTGGCTTGCCAGTAGAATGAGTCTTTCTTCTCCCTAGTGTGTGGATGGGACCAGCTGGTCCCTGGGATAAGCAGGAGGCAATTCTTAACCAAGGAACTGACTGATGCTTGGAAGATGAGGAGTTGGCTGTTTGAGTACACTCTGGCCCTGGGTATGAGTGGAAACGTTCCAGTAGAGGACGTTAAGCCCCTGCAGTCATTTTCCTTGCAATACAGGTTTTCTGAATGGAATTGGAGCCGTCGGGAATTACTGAGTAAGGGACAAGGGGGTGCGGTTAAACTGTATTGTATGGTGATCCGGACCTAAGATCCCTGTCTCAGCAAAATGCCCATCCCTCAACTACAGGCACATCAGTAAATCCATCTGAGTCTAAACCAGATTCTGGATTCTGTGGACTCCCTGCGTCAGCTGCCTTGGTCTCTCCCCAGCTCATTTACTGATTCAGCTGCTGTTTAGAAGGCGGCAGTTGTCCTAGGGCACTTGTTTTTGTAACTGTATTTAAGTATAGTGACTTCCTTGTGGGGCCCTGGTGTTTCCTTTATCTTCCTGCTCAGGGTCTTGTTTCCAAAGAAGACAGAGTGGTGGTTCTTGCCGGGGTATTATTTTATAAATACCCTCTATGGCAGCATAAATAATCTGCTGCTGCTTCCCAGACAGAGATGAGACACATTCCCTGCCCTGCAATGGAGAAAGTGCTCTCAGAGGTGCTGCGTGTCCTCCACTCCTCCTGCCTTCAGTGGGAGTCAAAGATGCTCAGCTCTTTGCAGGATCTGGCCCTAAATAAGAGCAGGCAGCTCTCAGGTGAGGGATTTGTTGAGGAGGAAGGTGAGCATGGGTTTGAAGAAGGGGCCTGCCAGCTGAGGCAGATGTGGCTTGCAGCTATAGTAAGCAGTGACAAGTGGGCTGACTTTCAGAGGGGCTTGAGACCTGAAGCTTCAGTAGGAGATAGAAGAGCTCTGCCCCTCTTAAAATCAGGCTGTGGATCTGTGCATTGCAGAGGTGGTGGAGAGGGAGTACTTGACAGTCTCCACCTGAACACCCATTCCCGTAGTTTTGGGGTAGCAGGATTGAACTGCACTAAACTTCTTGCTTGGGATCAGCAAATAATACATAGTATTTGACTCTTCTCAGCATAGCTAGTTGGACCCTGGCTTTGGGAGCACCGTTATCAAGAGGAGAATGCACTAAACTATCCCCAAACAACGCAAAGAACCCCAGCATGGGTGGCAGCAGGATCAAACACTGGCCCCATGAGTCAGTTTGCCTGGCCTGCTGCCTTCTGAACTCCCTGTAGACCTCCAACCGGTCACGCATTCAGCTGACTGGCTGCTGTTCCTGCCTCTCATGTTTTAGTGAATGTGGAGTGTTCCCACCAGACTTTCAGCAGAGAGCCTCCAAGTTCCCCTGTAAACAGGAGGGGGAGGAAAATGGTTCAAACTGTGGTGAATTTTAATTGTTCATCCCCACCCTAACGTGCCATGGCTTGCAGCGAGGCAGCTCCTTGGACAGGGCTTTCAGCACTCGGTGATCCAGGCTTGTAAACTATCTGCAGCCTAGTGAGCATACAGGGAGCCGGTCCTGCTCCTGTTCACTCAATGCAAAACTCCTAGTGACTTCATTAGAAGCAGGATCTGACCCATCGCAGGGCCCCATTTTCTCCACAATATAACAAACCTAGATGCTGCAGCAATGTTAATTACATTAATTAATTACGTTAATTTATTCTGTTGCCATGCAGCACCCTTCTCTTCAGATGAGAGTTGTCAAAAAACACAGAGTGCAACTATCGGTATCTACTAAGTCTGCTAAAGCCTGCTGCACGTCCTAGCCTGCTGCTCCCCTCCTGTATCCCCTGCCCAGGTATCGCTGCTGGAGACCCCCCTTGGGAAAGGAGGGGGGCTGAGTCAGGCTGGGATGGCAATGGACACTTAAGGAATTGGAGAGAGGAGCCATTGAGGCTGGCTTCCCTTTTACACCAAAGTGGGAGGGTGTCTCTAACTGGGGCCTCAGTAGGATCAGGCAGGGTAGGCCAAGGGAGCGGGTCTAAAATCCATGCAGCTGTTCTGAAAGGCTGTTTGTAAATAGCAGCTTGGCACCGCCCCATTCCCAGCAACGCTGGGCGCTCCTGACCTGACTCCAGCTCTGGCTCCTCCTGCTCTCTGACTGCGAGACCTGAGCAGGCATCTTTACTGGCTCCCCAAAGAGCTCCTCCCCCCGAGCCCCAGCCATTTCCACTGCCAGGCTCCCAGGAGCAGTGCAGGGACACACCCACCCCACACACACCTCTTGCAGTGATGTCTAGCAATGGCGGGGGTGGGCTGCAGTTCCCCAGCCAGCAGGCCAGTGGCCGAAGAAATGGGGACAAAAAAATCTTTCCTCTTTCTGCGCAGCACAGTGGAAACTGAGGCTGATCATGCAGTTAATATCCCCAGCCAGAGAGGTGCTGCAAGGCATAGACCATGGTGGACTCCTGTGGTTCCAGCACAGTGGAGAAGTCTGCTGAATACTTAAGAACTTGCTAAAATAGCAAAGGCCACAGCCAGTAGCTTAGCTCGGGAATCCTAGAGTGCCTGGGATCCCTGCCTTGCAACCCCAGGGGCAGGTCATGTGCTGATGTGGGAGAGGGAAGGGCTATGCAGACTTATGGTCTCAACGTGGTAGCTTTGGTCTGAGGGATGCTTTCTCTGCCACTCACAAAGTGGGGTGGCCTGGAGAGATCTTGGGCCCTTGTAGTTGGTGAGGTGAAGAAGGCCCAAGCCGGGAGATTTCATCAGTTGTCTAGGTAGGAGAGAGTAGGTCTCATTGATGGACTCATCTTCTGAGATGTTCCTCCAATGGCACTTCATTTAAATGCTCTTCCTGTACCTCCTCCCTCCTGCTATCTTGGCTAGATGGAATCTTGGCTCCAGGATACTCTCTGGGCTGAGTGATGGGGAATTCCTGCCTGTCTCCTTCCCCTGGCTGCTACAGCAGGTGTCTCATTGTAGTTCCACAACTGATAGTGGCCAAGTGAGTCTAGACCCTACCCAAGTCTCACCAACCAGCTTCCGGGGGAATCCAGTTCCATCACCCGACTTAGAGGAACAGACATGATAAACAGCTAATCTAAGTAATTCTGAACTACAGTGCTGACTGAAAACATCCCCCCCCATCTCAATGAATATGCCTCATGCAAAAGTGCATTAGAAGGTGTTACTCAGAAGCCTCTTCTGTAGGAGATGCTCATGTGTCAGCAGCTGACCAGAATGTTTCAGGACCCTTGAGGTGTTATTTTTTGTCTGATCAGACTGCCAGTGCTCTCATGCTGTAAGACTTTTCTCAGATGCGGAAAAGGGGAAGGCTGTAAATGTTTGATCAGTGTTTGTAATCTGGAACAGCCTTTCTGAACACCAGCAGTACCAACGGACCTCACCGGTACATGCAGGTGCTCAGCGCTTCTGTGTATCAGGCCTCTGAACCTATACTCATGTGGTATGTTGCAGTCCCCCAGAATGTATTGGGATAGCATTGTGCAGGGCTGATGGGAAAGCAGGTCAAGCTCTTTCTTCAGTCTCTCTCTCTCTCTCTCAACTCTCTTGCAGCTCACCTTGCAGAGCACCAAGTCCCGTGTGGCCTTCTTCGAGGAGCTCTAGGAGGTGACCCAACAATCCTGCACTGCTGCTTCCAGCGAGCCAGCCACTTGCCAGCCAGAACCTCCTTCAGCAAGGCCATATAGGCACATCCCAATGGCTGGGGAGCCAGGAACGCAGCCCCTCTACATGCTGGCTGAGTGCATTCTGGGACATGATGCTGCTCCTGTGCAATGGACTTGGTCCGTCAGCTGTCCGTGGATTTCAGCGTGATGATCTCTAGTTTAGTGTATCCTAATCCCCCTTGTAGGTTTTTAACTAGCTACCCTCTTCTGCCGTTTATAATGCAGAGCTGTGTATCCCTTGCAGTCTTTTTAAGCAGTATTTGTATTTGGCCGTGACTATCATGTGACCTCTTGGGAGATGGTGAGCAGGCGCGTGTGCCTTGGAAGGGATTCCTTTCCCTTCCGGCCCTGCTTTAGGGAATACCACAAATAATGTGCACTTCTGCAGGTGGAGATGTGGCGCCTTCAGCAGTTCGGGAGCCAGACAGCGAGATGTGCGCTACCCTCTCCATACCCCCAGTACTTCTGCCTGACTTTTGGAGGGGCTGAATACTGGTTAGTGACACACACAGTGATATAATGGAATGCTTTAATCAGTGTTACAGCCTCCCCTACAAGGGCGTGATTAGGTCTGGTCTTCCTGCCTGTCAGAGAATCTAGCAGACCTAGAAGGGGTTCAGAGATACGCCGTGGGAATAGGTTTGGAATGACTTCTGTATAAGGAGAGATTGAAAAGACTCTAGCTGATTACCTTAGAAAGCTGCCACCTAGAGGGGAACTACAAAGGTGTGCAAACTAATGAAGGGTATGGAGAAGGTAGATCTACCTTCTCCAGTATGACACAAGAGCAAGGGCATAGTCAAGGAAACTGAAAAGTGGCATATCCAACACTGATCAAAGGAAATGCTTTCTCACACAGTGTACAATGAGCCTCTGGAACTCCTTGCTACAAGATTCCACTGACACCAAGAATTTTGTAGGATTAGATCTTTGTCTGGATACAAAAATAGCCATAAATCTGGCAGTGGACATTTACAAAGTGAAGGGGTTCTGGAAGAGATATGAACCTTGTAGATCAGGAGGGAATTTCCTCTGTGCCCTGGTCATCCCATAGCTACCTACTGCAGCCTTCTTTTCACTTTCCTCTGAAGCATCTGGCACTGGCCACTGCTGGAGATGGGCAAGAAGGACCATGGGTCTGATCCACTATGTCCGTTCCTGTTCATGGGAGCTGCATGTGCTCAGCCTCTCTGCACATCACCTCCCTTGCTCCATTTTAACTCCCCTGGTAGAGTGGTAACCAGCACCCCATGAGCTGGGACTCTACTGAGAGCAGTCCCAGCATCTCTTTACTGCGGAGTCCTGTTGAGTGAGAGTGGCAGGAGCAGCCTTGCTCTGGTGGTGGCAGAGCCTGTGGTTTCCAGTCCCTGAGGGAGCATGCTGCGAACACTCATGCACCCCGTGCTTGCCGTGAGACAGAGCCAAGCAACAGGGTTGAGTTACTAAGCAGCCAAGGTGAGGTTGGCTGCTAAATGAAGTAGCTCTCTCCTAGCCAAGGACTCTAGGCAGCTATGTCGAAGAAGTCAGTGGCATCCTCAGCTCTTGAAAGGACATAGGTCTGCTGCCTTGGGAGGAGAGGAGTAACTCCTGGCATCTGCTTTGTCATCATCCTGTCTCCTTTGCCAGTGCTCGCACCCATCCCGCCCTGCTTTGTATTCTCTGTTTTGGGGGGTGAGTGGGGAGAGGTGCTAGAAATCACTTTCAGTTTATCTCCCAGGTGCTGGAAGTAGGGGTGCTGCCGCACCCTCTGGCTTGAAGTAGTTTCCACTATATCCAGGGTTTACAGTTTGGTTCAATGGCTCCCAGCACCCCCCACCATACAAATTGTTCCAGCACCACTGTTGGCAGCCCCTCATGGGAGGGAGGGATAGCTCAGTGGTTTGAGCATTGGCCTGCTAAACCCAGGGTTGTGAGTTCAATCCTTGAGGGGGCCATTTAGGGAACTGGGGTAAAAATTTGTCTGGGGATTGGTCCTGCTTTGAGCAGGGGGTTGGACTAGATGACCTCCTGAGGTCCCTTCCAACCCTGAGATTCTATGATCCTAATGCACTTATGAACTATTGGGCCCTGCCTTTGTGTAATGGCCTCTGGTCTACTCCCACACACACACACAACCTACTTACAGGCAGCTATTATCCCATAAGCTCACCCCTTTGCTGTTCTATGTTTTGTTCTGCACCAGCATAAAGCTTTCGTGCCCTGGCGGTTATATTCATTACATATACAGAAATACACTATTCAACCCTTAAGCGCTGCTGCTTCGCAGACTGCCAGCCAGTTTGAACAGTGCATCTTCTAAAGGGTTAATCCAGGTGCTCTCCTGGAATGCACAGTGTCAGGATCTTTCCTGTGACTTGGGGCCACTTGGAGTGTAGGGAAGCATGATTCCTCCCAGTGCAAACAGCATTGACTCCCCATGTCCTCTTGTCGATGCTGCAAGGACAGCAAGTGCTAGGCATGTCTCCTGCCGGACAACTGCTTCAGTGTCACGCCAATGGCTGGTCTCTAGAGTGGGAGCTTCTCACACATATACCACCATAAAGGGTTAAGGCCACGATGCTAAATGTTTGTATATCTTTTGTATCAATGTTCTTTGCCACCATAGGGAGCAGAAAGAACACCCAAAGGTCCCAGCAGGAAGCCTTGCAGGTAGCATGGGGTATCCCACAGGTTGGAGCAGGCTGCAAAGTTGCAATAACATTGGGCTACGGATTAGCTTTTCTCTTGAGCTGGCTCAGTTCAGGTGACTGGGATTAAGTCCCGCTCAGAGTCTCCATCCTAAATCCTGCTTTTTAGGGGTTTATAGATCAGCTCTTAGCACTCCCTCAGGGTTATAACCTCAGTAGATCCGGGCTTGGTTTAGGAGCAGAAAGATGCTAAATTTAAAGAGGAAAAACTGTTAAGCCATTTTCAAGTTATAAGAGCAGAAAAGTGACCTGACGTGAGGGGTTGATTTCCAGGCTTGGCTGTGGGGGCACCATACAGCCTTTGCAGGAAGTGCAGGCATGTATTGCATTGATCTGTAGCACATCTCTCTGGCCAATTCAAGAAGAGCTCTTGCCTGGCTCTGAGGGAGCCCTAGCTGGTTCTCCGCTCTAGAGGGGGCATTGTGAGATGACAGTAAAGGGACAAAAGGGAAGAGGAGGAACAAAATCTCTTATTAAAAGATATTTTTCCATCGATCAGCCTCTCTCCCTGCTTGTCTCTCCCTAGTGACTCAGCGTTAGTTATGTTTACTGCCCCTTGGAAAGGTTGGGCTAGGGCCCTTGGGGTGATCCAAGGGCTACACAGAACCAACAGCCATTTCAGCTTGAAATAGTGAATCCTGGCCCCAGTGAGTCAATGGGAATTCAGGGGAGCCAGGATTGCACCCAGAGTTTGCAACCATTTCATTGGTGCTAGTTAGAAACGCACATTTCATGCCAGCGTTTTACGTATACACTTAGGTCCAGATCCTCAAAGGTATTTCAGTTCCTAAGTTAGGAGCCTAAATACCTTTTGAGGATCTGGGACTTAGACCATGATCCTGCAGCTACATATACATGTGGTCAACTTTGAGCTCATGACTAATTCCAGTGAAATCAAGCCTGATTTTAAGCTGGCTCCAAATTGCAGTTTACCTTATCTATGCTTGAGGTTTACAATGAAGCAGCTACATGGCTGGCTGGTTATAAATTTCTGGAATCAGGGCAAATTCTGACTGGAGCCAAGGCCAAAGAGGAGTTATTTCCCCACCCCTCTCCCCTTCTTAATCCAGCACTGTCATAACACAAGAGCCAGGGGTCTCCCACTGAAATTAACAGGCAGCAGGTTTAAAACAAACACAAGGAAGAACTTCTTCACATAGCGCACAGTCAGCCCATGGAACTCATCAGAAAATGTGATGGCCAAAACTAGACCTGGGTTCAATAAAGAATTTGGTAAATTCATGGAGGATTGGTCCATCAATGGCCATTAGCCAAGATGGTTAGGGATTAAACCCCATGCTGCAGGTGTCTGTAAGCCTCTGACTGCCAGATGCTGGGACTGGCCAATGGGATGGATCACTCAGTAACTGCCCTGTACCATTCATTGCCTCTGGTACAGGTCACTGTCAGAGACAGGACACTAGGCTAGATGGACCATTGATCTGACCCAGTATGGCCGTTCATATTTAAACAATACTAGCAATCGCGTCCTTGCTGCCCACTCTTAGCAATTCTGAGCAAACACTAATGGTCTGTCTTTAACCCACCCAATTCACTTGCCTTTATTTTATTTTTTTCAACAGCCTGGTTTAATCACAGAGGGCTGAATCTAGCCCTGTGGTGACTTCAGTTGAGTTATGGACAGGGTGGATTTAGCCCAGAGTCAGCCCATGGCTCAGTATAGTATATTGTGGCTTTTAGCAGATCACACCCTTGAACCCTTTTATTTAAAAGGTCCCTGATATGCATTGAATCTCCTCCCATTTGGAAGTGTATGTGTCTGAAATTCAGATGGATGAAGCAGTCTTTTCCTTGGGATGGGGTCCGGGACAGAAAGGCCTTTTTTTCTATTCCCGTGGATTGTTATATTCTAAAGATACCATCGTTTTCTCATTTGTTTTAATAAAAATTGAAAGCAGTCGGAGGTGGAGTTGGTTTTTTTGGGAGTGGGTTAAAAAGAATAAAGAGCACTTTGTTATGGTAATATTACAGCGAGTCCTAAAGCAGGTTTAACAAGAGACATGATTGCATCATCTCCAGAATATTAAATGCACCATAAAGGAACTTCCAAAACTGAGACACGGCTGCCTCCCCTCTGCTAGATCACAGGAACCCTGAGCATTGAGATACCTGCAGCCCCGCTGCTAGGTCACAGGTCCTGGGAATCCCCAGCACTGAGACACAACTGCATCCCCGCTGCTATATCACAGCATGGCACCCGGGAACCCCAGCACTGAGACACAACTGTATCTAAACACTATGGGCCATATCCTCCCTAGTCCACCATGTCTGTTCAATAGAGTAAAGGGGCCCCAAGGCAGCCTCTGCCTCTCTTGAATGGGCCATTCTACTATTGGGCTATTGCAATGCAGGAGGGGCAGGAAGCATTGCAGAGCCACTATCCCTTTTCCCCCATACAGGAAGCATGACTTTGGACATGCTACTTGCTTAATAAATTGGCTCATTCTGGCTCATAAATGAAATGGCTAGATGAGGTGGACGCTGTTCATTAAATGTCAGAGAGACGTTCTTGGCAGCTGTGGATCCTGATCTGACTTGACTTGAGAAAGCTCAAGTCTTCCTCTGCTTTGCTCACAGCTGTCCTGTTCCCTGACATGTCCCCAGAAGTTGTGTTCATACTGGCCTGGCAGCCTCTCCCTGAGTTTTTGGGTAGCGCCAAGCACACTGTTGGCACGTAAATAATACCAGCTCTGTGTCATGTGCCCTTTCAATCAGCTGTCATTTCTTAGCCACTTGTGCTGTCCTTGAATGCATGGGTTTGGGGTGCAGGGAGCTGCTGCAGAGCTGGGTTAATAGATATTTGACCCA